GTAGCTGCCAAGTGTAGCTGTTGTGTAGCTGCCAAGTGTAGCTGTTGTGTAGCTGCCAAGTGTAACTGTTGTGTAGCTGCCAAGTGTAGCTGTTGTGTAGCTGCCAAGTGTAGCTGTGTAGCTGCCAAGTGTAGCTGTTGTGTAGCTGCCAAGTGTAGCTGTTGTGTAGCTGTTGTGTAGCTGTTGTGTAGCTGTTGTGTAGTGTAGCTGTTGTGTAGCTGCCAAGTGTAGCTGTTGTGTAGCTGCCAAGTGTAGCTGTTGTGTAACTGTTGTGTAGCTGCCAAGTGTAGCTGTTGTGTAGCTGTTGTGTAGCTGCCAAGTGAAGCTGTTGTGTAGCTGTTGTGTAGCTGTTGTGTAGCTGCCAAGTGTAGCTGTTATGTAGCTGCCAAGTGTTGTGTAGCTGCCAAGTGTAGCTGCCAAGTGTAGCTGTTGTGTAGCTGCCAAGTGTAGCTGCCAAGTGTAGCTGTTGTGTAGCTGCCAGTGTAGCTGTGTAGCTGCCAAGTGTAGCTGTTGTGTAGCTGCCAAGTGTAGCTGTTGTGTAGCTGCCAGTGTAGTGTAGCTGCCAAGTGTAGCTGTTGTGTAGCTGCCAAGTGTAGCTGTTGTGTAGCTGCCAAGTGTAGCTGTAGCTGCCAAGTGTAGCTGTTTGTGTAGCTGTTGTGTAGCTGCCAAGTGTAGCTGTTGTGTAGCTGCCAAGTGTAGCTGCTGTTGTGTAGCTGCCAAGTGTAGCTGTTGTGTAGCTGCCAAGTGTAGCTGTTGTGTAGCTGCCAAGTGTAGCTGTTGTGTAGCTGCCAAGTGTAGCTGTTGTGTAGCTGCCAAGTGTAGCTGTTGTGTAGCTGCCAAGTGTAGCTGTTGTGTAGCTGCCAAGTGTAGCTGTTGTGTAGCTGCCAAGTGTAGCTGTTGTGTAGCTGCCAAGTGTAGCTGTTGTGTAGCTGCCAAGTGTAGCTGTTGTGTAGCTGCCAAGTGTAGCTGTTGTGTAGCTGCCAAGTGTAGCTGTTGTGTAGCTGCCAAGTGTAGCTGTTGTGTAGCTGCCAAGTGTAGCTGTTGTGTAGCTGCCAAGTGTAGCTGTTATGTAGCTGCCAAGTGTAGCTGTTGTGTAGCTGCCAAGTGTAGCTGTTGTGTAGCTGCCAAGTGTAGCTGTTGTGTAGCTGCCAAGTGTAACTGTTGTGTAGCTGTTGTGTAGCTGCCAAGTGTAGCTGTTATGTAGCTGCCAAGTGTAGCTGTTGTGTAGCTGCCAAGTGTAGCTGTTGTGTAGCTGCCAAGTGTAGCTGTTGTGTAGCTGCCAAGTGTAGCTGTTGTGTAGCTGCCAAGTGTAGCTGTTGTGTAGTGTAGCTGTTGTGTAGCTGCCAAGTGTAGCTGTTGTGTAGCTGCCAAGTGTAGCTGTTATGTAGCTGCCAAGTGTAGCTGTTATGTAGCTGCCAAGTGTAGCTGTTATGTAGCTGCCAAGTGTAGCTGTTGTGTAGCTGCCAAGTGTAGCTGTTGTGTAGCTGCCAAGTGTAGCCAAGTGTAGCTGTTGTGTAGCTGCCAAGTGTAGCTGTGTAGCTGCCAAGTGTAGCTGTTGTGTAGCTGCCAAGTGTAGCTGTTGTGTAGCTGCCAAGTGTAGCTGTTGTGTAGCTGCCAAGTGTAGCTGTTATGTAGCTGCCAAGTGTAGCTGTTGTGTAGCTGCCAAGTGTAGCTGTTATGTAGCTGCCAAGTGTAGCTGTTGTGTAGCTGCCAAGTGTAGCTGCCAAGTGTAGCTGTTGTGTAGCTGCCAAGTGTAGCTGTTATGTAGCTGCCAAGTGTAGCTGTTATGTAGCTGCCAAGTGTAACTGTTGTGTAGCTGCCAAGTGTAGCTGTTGTGTAGCTGCCAAGTGTAGCTGTTGTGTAGCTGCCAAGTGTAGCTGCCTGTTGTGTAGCTGCCAAGTGTAGCTGTTGTGTAGCTGCCAAGTGTAGCTGTTGTGTAGCTGCCAAGTGTAGCTGTTGTGTAGCTGCCAAGTGTAGCTGCTGCCAAGTGTAGCTGTGTAGCTGCCAAGTGTAGCTGTTATGTAGCTGCCAAGTGTAGCTGTTATGTAGCTGCCAGTGTAGCTGTGTAGCTGTTGTGTAGCTGCCAAGTGTAGCTGTTATGTAGCTGCCAAGTGTAGTGTAGCTGTTGTGTAGCTGCCAAGTGTAGCTGTTATGTAGCTGCCAAGTGTAGCTGTTATGTAGCTGCCAAGTGTAGCTGTTATGTAGCTGCCAAGTGTAGCTGTTATGTAGCTGCCAAGTGTAGCTGTTATGTAGCTGCCAAGTGTAGCTGTTATGTAGCTGCCAAGTGTAGCTGTTATGTAGCTGCCAAGTGTAGCTGTTATGTAGCTGCCAAGTGTAGCTGTTATGTAGCTGCCAAGTGTAGCTGTTATGTAGCTGCCAAGTGTAGCTGTTATGTAGCTGCCAAGTGTAGCTGTTATGTAGCTGCCAAGTGTAGCTGTTATGTAGCTGCCAAGTGTAGCTGTTATGTAGCTGCCAAGTGTAGCTGTTGTGTAGCTGCCAAGTGTAGCTGCCAAGTGTAGCTGCTGCCAAGTGTGTGTAGCTGCCAAGTGTAGCTGTTGTGTAGCTGCCAAGTGTAGCTGTTATGTAGCTGCCAAGTGTAGCTGTTGTGTAGCTGCCAAGTGTAGCTGTTATGTAGCTGTTATGTAGCTGCCAAGTGTAGCTGCCAAGTGTAGCTGTTATGTAGCTGCCAAGTGTAAGTGTAGCTGCCAAGTGTAGCTGTGTAGCTGCCAAGTGTAGTGTAGCTGCCAAGTGTAGCTGTGTAGCTGCCAAGTGTAGCTGTTGTGTAGCTGCCAAGTGTAGCTGTTGTGTAGCTGCCAAGTGTAGCTGTGTAGCTGCCAAGTGTAGCTGTTATGTAGCTGCCAAGTGTAGCTGTTGTGTAGCTGCCAAGTGAAGCTGTTGTGTAGCTGTTGTGTAGCTGTTGTGTAGCTGCCAAGTGTAGCTGTTATGTAGCTGCCAAATGTAGCTGTTGTGTAGCTGCCGAGTGTAGCTGTTGTGTAGCTGCCAAGTGTAGCTGTGCCAAGTGTAGCTGTTATGTAGCTGCCAAGTGTAGCTGTTGTGTAGCTGCCAAGTGTAGCTGTTGTGTAGCTGCCAAGTGTAGCTGTTATGTAGCTGCCAAGTGTAAGTGTAGCTGCCAAGTGTAGCTGTTATGTAGCTGCCAAGTGTAGCTGTTGTGTAGCTGCCAAGTGTAGCTGTTATGTAGCTGCCAAGTGTAGCTGTTGTTATGTAGCTGCCAAGTGTAGCTGTTATGTAGCTGCCAAGTGTAGCTGTTATGTAGCTGCCAAGTGTAGCTGTTATGTAGCTGCCAAGTGTAGCTGTTATGTAGCTGCCAAGTGTAGCTGTTATGTAGCTGCCAAGTGTAGCTGTTATGTAGCTGCCAAGTGTAGCTGTTATGTAGCTGCCAAGTGTAGCTGTTGTGTAGCTGCCAAGTGTAGCTGTTGTGTAGCTGCCAAGTGTAGCTGTTGTGTAGCTGCCAAGTGTAGCTGTTGTGTAGCTGCCAAGTGTAGCTGTTGTGTAGCTGCCAAGTGTAGCTGTTGTGTAGCTGCCAAGTGTAGCTGTTGTGTAGCTGCCAAGTGTAGCTGTTGTGTAGCTGCCAAGTGTAGCTGTTATGTAGCTGCCAAGTGTAGCTGTTATGTAGCTGCCAAGTGTAGCTGTTATGTAGCTGCCAAGTGTAGCTGTTATGTAGCTGTTATGTAGCTGCCAGGTGTAGCTGTTATGTAGCTGCCAAGTGTAGCTGTTGTGTAGCTGCCAAGTGTAGCTGTTGTGTAGCTGCCAAGTGTAGCTGTTATGTAGCTGCCAAGTGTAGCTGTTGTGTAGCTGCTGTTGTGTAGCTGCCAAGTGTAGCTGTTGTGTAGCTGCCAAGTGTAGCTGTTATGTAGCTGCCAAGTGTAGCTGTTGTGTAGCTGCCAAGTGTAGCTGTTATGTAGCTGCCAAGTGTAGCTGTTGTGTAGCTGCCAAGTGTAGCTGTTGTGTAGCTGCCAAGTGTAGCTGTTATGTAGCTGCCAAGTGTAGCTGTTGTGTAGCTGCCAAGTGTAGCTGTTGTGTAGCTGCCAAGTGTAGCTGTTGTGTAGCTGCCAAGTGTAGCTGTTATGTAGCTGCCAAGTGTAGCTGTTGTGTAGCTGCCAAGTGTAGCTGTTATGTAGCTGCCAAGTGTAGCTGTTGTGTAGCTGCCAAGTGTAGCTGTTGTGTAGCTGCCAAGTGTAGCTGTTGTGTAGCTGCCAAGTGGAGCTGTTGTGTAGCTGCCAAGTGTAGCTGTTGTGTAGCTGCCAAGTGGAGCTGTTATGTAGCTGCCAAGTGTAGCTGTTGTGTAGCTGCCAAGTGTAGCTGTTGTGTAGCTGCCAAGTGTAGCTGCCAAGTGTAGCTGTTGTGTAGCTGCCAAGTGTAGCTGTTGTGTAGCTGCCAAGTGTAGCTGCCAAGTGTAGCTGCCAAGTGTAGCTGTTGTGTAGCTGCCAAGTGTAGCTGTTGTGTAGCTGCCAAGTGTAGCTGTTGTGTAGCTGCCAAGTGTAGCTGTTGTGTAGCTGCCAAGTGTAGCTGCCAAGTGTAGCTGTTGTGTAGCTGCCAAGTGTAGCTGTTGTGTAGCTGCCAAGTGTAGCTGTTGTGTAGCTGCCAGGTGTAGCTGCCAAGTGTAGCTGTTGTGTAGCTGCCAGGTGTAGCTGCCAAGTGTAGTTGCCAAGTGTAGCTGCCAGGTGTAGCTGCCAGGTGTAGCTGCCAGGTGTAGCTGCCAGGTGTAGCTGCAAGTGTGTGTGTGCGTGTGTGTGTGTATGTACTCGCCTAGGTATGCTTGCGGGGGTTGAGCTCTGGCTCTTTGGTCCCGCCTCTCAACTGTCAATCAACTGGTGTACTGATTGTGTGTGCATACGTGTGTGGTGGTGGTGGTGTGTGGTGGTGGCGTGTGTGGTGGTTGTGGTGCTGGTTGTCCTGGTAGTGGTAGCGATGATGGACAGTTGCTTGCCAGGTGTATAAAGCAGAGCCTGTAACCAGGTGTGTCTCCCCCCCCCCCCCAGCACAAGAGCTGTGTGAGCAGCAAGGCAAGGGCCGCTGCGTCGCCCGTGTGGCCGAGTGCCTGAAGGACCAGAGTCCGGTGAAGCCCTCAGACTGTTCCGTGTGGAAGCAACAGATGTTGGCCAACATCACCACCTGCGCCAGGCAGCTGGACTACAGCTTCACTCCCCCTCCATCCCCAGAAGACAGTAAATAACTTAACACCATCTTTTTTTGAGCATAAATTTTGTATCCGAGATTCACTCTTTCCTTCCTTGGAAAGCATCACTGGTGACTCATCACAATATATCACATATTTCTATCAACATTGTTAATGAAAAACTCTCACTTAATACCTGCATCTCTCATGTATAAACTACGTAAGGAAACATAACATAATGTTAGATTATCACTAATAATGTGTTCGTTATCCTGACAGTCTCCCTGAGCAGTGAGAGCGGTGAGAGCGAGGAGAACAGCGAGGAGACTTATGAATACTACGAAGAACTGGAGACATTCCTCAAGAAAACCAATTTCCTTCAAGACCAGTTGGTGCCCATGGTTCGCTGCCTCCTGACGGAGAACCAGATGGTGAGTGGTGAGGTGTGTGGTCACCCCGCCACGGGCTGTACCGGGGGGGGGGGGGTAGAAATAGCCTAAGCTACTCTGTCCCTTTGAGATGTATTTATTGCTTATCTCAATAAACATACTTGAACTTGAACTTGAATGGGCTGTACCCAACAATTAATCTTTCTTCAAATTAAAGTAACTACTCGATTAAACGTAACAACTTATTACGTCTCCACGGTCGGGGACAGGAAGCCTGCTAGCATTATGGAAGGTTCTCTAAGTCAACTGCTCCTGACCTTTCTCAGGACGCAGTACTCCACAGGTGGCTTAGGTAAAGTTGCATTAGTAGCGGTAAATAGGGAGCCTCTACAGGCTACCTATTTACCACTAGGTGAATAGGCCCCAGACATCTAGTGAAAGGAAATAGTCCAAACCCTTCTGTCCAACTGGACTCTGGACCTTCCTGGTGTCATCAGGCTGCGCTGTGCCACACGACTCTCTATACTTCCTGGTGTCATCAGGCTGCGCTGTGCCACACGACTCTCTATACTTCCTGGTGTCATCAGGCTGCGCTGTGCCACACGACTCTCTATACTTCCTGGTGTCATCAGGCTGCGCTGTGCCACACGACTCTCTATATTTGACCACAATATATAACTAACGTTAATCCTTTTCCCTTTCCCCAACAGCTTGAGAAGTTCAGCTGGTGCGTCAACCAATAGGAACCCTCGCTGAACGTCACGAGTCACGGACACCTCTCAACACCTCTCAATACAAACTTCGTTATAAATCTACTGGAAAACTTACCCGAGAACTTAGTTGCACTCACCCACGCCAGCACACTCACGCCAGCACACTCACTGCAAACAGTGTTACTACACTGCACTTTCATAACCTAGGTGTCCACGTGTCTTGTTGTGTAACTAAGGTTAACTTAACCTTAGAATGATGAGGCAGAGTATGAGGCAGTAGCAACGGTCACAGTCTGGCCTGAAGCAAGGGAACGCGTCCGTTGCGTCAACCACCACAGCAACAACGGTCACCGCCTGGCCTGAAGCAAGGGAACGCGTCCGTTGCGTCAACCACCACAGCAACAACGGTCACAGTCTGGCCTGAAGCAAGGGAACGCGTCCGTTGCGTCAACCACCACAGCAACAACGGTCACCGCCTGGCCTGAAGCAAGAGAACGCGTCCGTTGCGTCAACCACCACAGCAACAACGGTCACCGCCTGGCCTGAAGCAAGGGAACGCGTCCGTTGCGTCAACCACCACAGCAACAACGGTCACCGCCTGGCCTAAAGCAAGAGAACGCGTCCGTTGCGTCAACCACCACAGCAACAACGGTCACCGCCTGGCCTGAAGCAAGAGAACGCGTCCGTTGCGTCAACCACCACAGCAACAACAGCAGCCCCTCACCTTAACAACAGCAGCCCCTCACCTCAACAACAGCAGCCCCTCACCTTAACAACAGCAGCCCCTCACCTCAACAACAGCAGCCCCTCACCTTAACAACAACAGCCCCTCACCTTAACAACAACAGCCCCTCACCTTAACAACAGCAGCCCCTCACCTCAACAACAGCAGCGGACAGCTGGGTGGTGCTGTGTGTTCTGCGGTCTTTCCTTCAGCTTCATATTAGTCATTTAGGTTATCTTCACCGCGCTGCGGACATTAGGCGACCAGCGCGCAAAACTTAACTTTTCTGCTTAATAAATCTTTTGGCAAATATTCCTTTGTTTATGTTCCATCCCCATGACTGAAGTAGGAGTGCGAGTCATTGAGCAACCCGTCCTTCACTCAAGTCCATTCCATCCAGCGCTCGACCCCACAGACGCATACACAAATTGTTAAATGGTATACATTCAAACCAATAATTTTCTCAAATATAGATTAATATTATAATATATTAGCATATTGTGCATATATAGGCATAGGTTAGGTGTTTAGGTTCTGTTGGCGATTATTTGTATTTGTAGTACGTGGGTGAAGCATTTACAGCGTTGTGATTCGAACAAAATTCGTCAGTGAAGCACTTGTTCCGGATATGTTCGAACGTCATCAGTTGTGAGTCGTGTGTAAACCGCTTTTCATTCATAAACAGGGGGTTTGGCGGGTGCATGGAATCACTTTTGGACTTTGTTTGGAGGACGGGCTGTTTACAGCGTTGTGGTTCGAACAAAACTCGTCAGTGAAGCACTTGTTCCGGATATGTTCGAACGTCATCAGTTGTGAGTCGTATGCCAGGCCGCCCTTCAAACAAAGACCCAAAAGTGATTCCATGCACCTGCACCAACCCTCCCCCCCCCCTCGCCAGGTGTTTATGAATGAAAAACGATGTACACACGACTCACAACTGATGACGTTCGAAAACTTCCAGAACAAGTGCTTCACTGGCGACTTGTGTTCGAATCACAACGCTGTATGCAGCCCGTCCTCCAAACAAAGATGCAAAAGTGATTCCATGCACCCGCCAAACCCCCTGTTTATGAATGAAAAGCGGTTTACACACGACTCACAACTGCTGACGTTCGAACATATCCGGAACAAGTGCTTCACTGACGAATTTTGTTCGAACCACAACGCTGTAAATGCTTCACCCACGTACTACAAATACAAATAATCGCCAACAGAACCTAAACACCTAACCTATCCTATGCCTATATATACACAATATGCTAATATATTATAATATTAATTTATACTTGAAAAAATTCCCGTTTTGAATGAACAGCATGTTAAAATATATGAATGCGTCTGTGGGGTCGACCGCTGGATGGAATGGACTTGAGTCGAGGACGGGTTGCAGCAAGGCATTCGGAATGATCAGTTAAGACAAATTAGTTGATCTCATTTTAGCTTTCTACCAACTTTTATTTTTATTTTGACATGCGAGCGTGCGGATAAGTACAATATAAGCAAAACAGAAAACAAACAAGAACGAAGCAAGTAGAACACAAAATTACAAAAATAACAAAAGTCCAAACTCGCAAATTACAAAATAACAAAAGTCCAAACTCGCAAATTACAAAAATAACAAAAGTACAAACTCGTAAAATTACAAAAATAACAAAAGTCCAAACTCGCAAATTACAAAATAACAAAAGTCCAAACTCGCAAATTACAAAAATAACAAAAGTCCAAACTCGCAAATTACAAAATAACAAAAGTCCAAACTCGCAAATTACAAAGTAACAAAAGTCCAAACTCGCAAATTACAAAAATAACAAAAGTCCAAACTCGCAAATTACAAAATAACAAAAGTACAAACTCGCAAATTACAAAATAACAAAAGTACAAACTCGCAAATTACAAAATAACAAAAGTACAAACTCGCAAATAACAAAATAAGAAGCGGTCTAAGTACAAAACACAGACCTGAAGGGCCGACAAGAAAAACTCAAGAGAAACAAACACAACAATAATAATGACAAACACAATAATTACAAACACAGGAAAATAGTACAGAAATAACAACCGAGCAACACATAGCACCCAATTAAACCCTTCACCCAAACAACCCAACCACCGGAACATAATTATACAAAACGAGCCCTACTGGCCCGGCAAACCACACACGGAGAGGCACCAATACATAATGATAAAAAAACGAGAAAAGGAATACAAATACATAGCACAGAAACAAAAAAAAACTACAGCCGCAATACATGATAAGGAGAACAAGAATAGGCTGGGGCACACTAGCAGCCCAAAGCGCACGCACCATCCCACAAACGCACAACCACAACAAGTAAAAAAACACAAAAACATAAAAACAGAATAACGGGACATCTACAACCAGACACACACGCAAACAAGCACTGGAACTCACAGGAATCGGATATACACACACAATCCACATGAATATACCCACAACCACAAACCGGAGCACACAGGAACCAGGAAAACACTCCCGCCCCATCCACACACACACACACACACGCGATGATGGTGATGAAGGTGATGAAATTAGGCGAAGGGAGCAGGAGGCTGAACACAAGGTACCATCTGGGAGGGGAAATCCTGCAAGAGTCAAATAGAGAGAAGGACCTAGGGGTTGATATCACACCGAACCTGTCCCCAGAGGCCCACATCAAAAGGATATCATCAGCGGCATATGCTAGACTGGCCAACATAGGAACTGCCTTTAGAAACTTGTGTAAGGAATCTTTCAGAACCCTGTATACCACTTAAATGAGACCAATCTTGGAATATGCAGCTCCAGCCTGGAGTCCATACCTAGTTAAACACAAGACAAAGTTAGAGAAGATTCAGCGGTATGCCACCAGGCTCGTCCCAGAACTGAGAGGATTGAGCTACGAGAAAAGGCTAAAGGAGCTGAACCTCACATCCCTGGAAAACAGAAGAGTAAGGGGAGACATGATAACCACCTACAAAATTCTCAGGGGAATTGACAGGGTGGACAAATACAAACTCTTCAGCACGGGTGGGACACGAACAAGGGGACACAGGTGGAAACTTAGTACCCAGATGAGCCACAGAGACGTTAGAAAGAATTTTTTCAGTGTCAGAGTAGTTAATAAATGGAATGCATTAGGCAGTGATGTGGTGGAGGCTGACTCCATACACAGTTTCAAATGTAGATATGATAGAGCCCAATAGGCTCAGGAACCTGTACACCAGTTGATTGACAGTTGAGAGGCGGGACCAAAGAGCCAAAGCTCAACCCCCGCAAGCACAATTAGGTGAGTACACGCACTCCACAACCACGCACACAAACGGAAACAAACCACAACACACATCAAACTAAGAAATCACGAGCGAGGAATACATTTCTCAGACAGGAATATATTTCTCAGGGAACTCATTCCGAGGATACTTGTTCTTATAGACCTCCCAAACCAAATACTCCATGTCGGTAGGGGGACGAACCCCCTGCCTCTGCGGGGCCCCCATAAACTCAGGAATCACCAAGTCAGGTGGATACAGCCACTCCCTAAGCTCGCTGATGCAAGTTGCATAACGAGGCATGGTAGGGCAAACCACCCTTCCTGAGGAAGCTGAAGACACCGAGGAAGCGTACGTAGGCCGCCGAGACGGACCTGCCGCCGAACGCACAGGAGAAGGCGAAGGCTGTCGAGACGGTAACACCTCCACTGATACCGCAGGAGAAACAGAAGAGACGGCCAAAGACGGAAGAGGCGACAAAGCCGCCGCCGAGGAAACGGGTAACGAGGAATGAGGGCACGGAACCTTAGAGCGGGCAACCTTCTTCAACACCACCACCAGGTCACTACGCTCACCTTGAACCTCAACAGGGGAAACCACCCCAACCACGAAGAATCGGAACCATCCGACGTGGGCGACGCACTCGAAGCATGATCCACAGGCGCCACACCAGGAGATGCTGAAACACTGGCAACCGCAGGCATATGTATCTCCGCCACCACCATACAATGCGACGCAACCGGAGCTACCCCGGAAGATGCAGTCACCTAATTCGCCAACATCGGCCCAGGCATAAGAACGCCAGGAAAGCTTAGGCTCTAGCCAGACATCATCAGATCCGGAGGCTGAGTCAGAGACACGTGCAACACAAGCCGGGCGAACCGACGCTCGTCGTAGAACGGCAGCATCCTCAATCACATGGGGCACCAGGCCAGGCACAGGAAGAGGCGCCGTATCCACCCCAGCACCCAGCACAGCCGGGACACACGGCGAGCGCGCAGGGACAGACGCAGCAGGTGAAGAACTGGAAGATGAGGGAGCCGTGCAGAAGGCAGTCGTAAGATCCACAGGAACTCCAGGGACACCAACCGGAGCAGGACGAGAACCCGACGGCAACATTCTCATGTGCCAGTTACATTTACAAAACCCTTTTCTTAAGTGCAAACCCTGTTATGAAACTCTTCCTGGACAGATGTAATAGGACCCATTATCACCACACCAGACATAAATATCTCTTTGACATCCCCAGAGTCAAACTTAATCTGTGTAAACACTCTATGCAAATAAAGGGACCCAGTCTATGGAACTCACTACCTAATGAATTGAGAGTCTGTCCAACTTTTGCCTTATTCAAAAACAAAAACAAAAAGTACCTAATTTCATCTTCATAGTTTCCTACCTTGTGCTTTAAACTGTGTATAGTGCAACCCAATCCCCCAATATACGTACCTAAACCATACAATCTTTACCTTTGTCATCACTGCTATCACCTTATATCATGTTGACCAGACCACACACTAGAAATTGAAGGGACGACGACGTTTCGGTCCGTCCTGGACCATTCTCAAGTCGATTGTGAGAATGGTCCAGGACGGACCGAAACGTCGTCGTCCCTTCAATTTCTAGTGTGTGGTCTGGTCAACATACTTCAGCCACGTTATTGTGACTCATCGCCTGCACCTTATATCATGGTTGCTATATTGAGTGCATATTTGACTGCATTATCTCTTAGATTAAGGACGTGCCCAGAACGTTGCGCGTACTAGTGGCTTTACAAGAACGTAAACACTATGCTATGTACTCTCATAAACCCAATATACCTTCTTGTATATATATAAATAAATAATAAATAAATTATTCCTTGAAATGATCCTCAAATTGTTTCAGTGAACCAGTTGATAACTCTTATCTTTGTCATTATTGTAATTACCTAAGTGTAATTACCTAAGTGTAGTTACAGGATGAGAGCGACGCTCGTGGTGTCCTGTCTTCCCAGCACTCTTTGTCATATAACGCTTTGAAACTACTGACGGTCTTGGCCTCCACCACCTTCTCACCTAACTTGTTCCAACCGTCTACCACTCTGTTTGCGAAAGTGAATTTTCTTATATTTCTTCAGCATCTGTGTTTAGCTAGTTTACATCTATGACCTCTTGTTCTTAAAGTTCCAGGTCTCAGGAAATCTTCCCTATCGATTTTATCAATTCCTGTTACTATTTTGTATGTAGTGATCATATCACCTCTTTTTCTTCTGTCTTCTATTTTTGGCATATTTAATGCCTTTAACCTCTCCTCGTAGCTCTTGCCCTTCAGTTCTGGGAGCCACTTAGTAGCATGTCTTTGCACCTTTTCCAGTTTGTTGATGTGCTTCTTAAGATATGGGCATCACACAACTGCTGCATATTCTTGCTTTGGCCTAACAAAAGTCGTGAACAATTTCTTTAGTATATCGCCATCCATGTATTTAAAAGCAATTCTGAAGTTAGAAAGCGTGGCATAGGCTCCTCGCACAATATTCTTTATGTGGTCCTCAGGTGATAGTTTTCTATCTAGAACCACCCCTAGATCTCTTTCTTTATCAGAATTCTTTAAAGATTTCTCACATAATATATAAGTTGTGTGGGGTCTATGTTCTCCTATTCCACATTCCATAACATGGCATTTATTAACATTAAATTCCATTTGCCAAGTGGTGCTCCATGTACTTATTTTGTCCAGGTCATCTTGAAGGGCATGACAATCATCTAAGTTTCTTATCCTTCCTATTATCTTAGCATCATCAGCAAACATGTTCATATAATTCTGTATACCAACTGGTAGATCATTTATGTAGACAATAAACATCACTGGTGCAAGAACTGAACCCTGTGGTACTCCACTTGTGACATTTCTCCAGTCCGATACATTGCCTCTGATCACAGCCCTCATTTTTCTATCAGTCAGAAAATTTTTCATCCATGTTAGAAGCGTACCTGTCACTCCTTCAATATTTTCCAGTTTCCAGAACAACCTCTTATGTGGAACTCTGTCCAAAGTCTTTTTTAGGTCCAGATAGATGCAGTCAACCCAACCATCTCTTTCCTGTAATATCTCTGTTGCTCGATCATAGAAACTGAGTAAATTCGATACACAGGATCTTCCAGATCGAAAACCATACTGTCTGTCTGATATTATATCATTTCTCTCCAGGTGTTCTACCCATTTAGTTTTAATTATTTTTTTCCAATATTTTGACTATTACACTTGTCAATGATACCTTGTGTATTGTCGTTATTGTTTATTAATCTAATCTTTGTGTATTGTGTCACGTTTTCTTACAATGTACCTATAAACATACTTTCAATTATCCGCTGCATTAAAGACCTGTCCGAAACGCTATACGTGCTAATGGCTTTACAAGAATGTCAAATCATCATTGTTATGTACTCTCTTAACCCCATCAATGTACCTTCTTATATATAAATAAATAAATAAATAAATAAATAAATATAGCTGGAAAGCTGATTTAAACTAGTTAATGATATTCCGTAACGAAGAAAACGTAAATAACTTCGGTGTATTATCAAATCCATTTTCTTTAACTCTGTGGGCCCGGGACTCCTCTATCACAGTAAACTTCATTTAACAATATAAAAATTCTCGTTGTTGGAAAGTTAAAGTGGATATATAAATTAGGCTTCAATGAAGACCACAGGATGGGCCTGGGGTCCATTATCACAGAATACGCATGGGGTCCACTATCATAGGATGGGCATGGGGTCCACTATCATAGGATGGGCATGGGGTCCACTATCATAGGATGGGCATGGGGTCCACTATCCTACGATAACCCGTTCTCGCAAATTCGTAAATTCAATATTGACTTATTAACTACGTGCATAGGTGATATACTAAACATAATAGATACCCTTAAAAAGATTCATAGAAAACACCAACCTTACCTAACCTTGTTAGTATCTTAAGATAAGCATCTTATTGCTTCGTTATTACAATTATTACTTAACCTATACCTATTATAGGTTAGGTAATAATTGTAATTACGAAGCAATAAGATGCTTATCTTAACATACTAAGTAGGTTAGGTAAGGTCGGTGTTTTCTATGAATCTTTTTAAGGGTATCTATTATGTTAAGTATGTCACCTATGCACATATTTAATAAGTCAATATTGACTTATTAAATTTGCGAGAGGCTACGGGACGACCTGGACAACTGGATCAATGGTCTAGACCAGTGGTCTTCAAGCACTGCTCTAGACCATTCCATTGTCGTCCTGTCATAGACCATTTTTAATGTCGTCCTCCTCTAGTGGTGGTTAAGTGGAAGCTGTCCACCCTCCACCCCGAAAAAGTCTCATTAAAAATCTCACGTTTTTAATATTTAAAATCTATGTTTCATATCTCATTTCTGTGACTCTGTAAACAGAAAAAAGCAGTTTCTCTTATTTTTTGTTTAACTTTTACATATTCATCCATATATTTACACAGCTCATCTCAAACTAAGACGCTCAAAATACACAAGATAGTATTAAGCATGACATTTAGACGCATTTTTCTTCACTAGAGTAAAATCGCAGCAATGTTTGGTATATTTGGTACAGTATCAATAAATAAAACAAATAGTTATCCTTTAAATAAAATCAGTGGCTTGGCTGCTGCTGCACTTTGTCTGCTATTAGGTTGAGTCGAGGTGTCAGACGATCTTCAAGTTGAGTCGAGGTGTCAGACGATCTTCAAGTTGAGTCGAGGTGTCAGACGATCTTCAAGTTGAGTCGAGGTGTCAGACGATCTTCAAGTTGAGTCGAGGTGTCAGACGATCTTCAAGTGCAACTCGCATGAGAGGATCCAGGTTCAGGATTGCATTCCTTTTCTTTATCTTCACCAAAACTAAAGTAGAGAACCCTTGCTCACACAAATATGATGTTGGCACCTGAACAACTATGGCTATTGTCCGCTCAGCTAGATCCTTGTACTCTGGACCATCAAGCAGGGTAACCCAGGAATCCATGGGATGGCTAAATGTCTTGATAACTGCTTTTTGTGAATAATCCGCTCGAAGCTGCAAAAGAGCATCACACTGATCAGTTGCTTCATCTGTGAAGGGATTAAGCATCCACACGTTGGAGGTCAACTGGTCATTCTCACTGTCTGGGAAATAGAAGTCAAGGTTTTCTTGCATTAGAGTAAGGTGTCTGATAACTGAGTGTGACATGTGTACCTCCAGTGTCTGCTGTGTTGTCTGCATACCATGTTCCCAGCCACATTCTCTCATAAATGAGTCAAATAATTCTAAATCAGAAAAGCACCTCTTTTCTACATTGCTTTCCCATTTTTTCACCTTCAGTTTAAATGTATTTATTTTCCCTATACTAGTCAAAATATCCCCATCTTTGCCTTGCTGACTGATGTTTAGCTTATTCAGATGATCGAAGATTGAAGCCTTGTAAGACAATTTAGCCAGCCAGAGCACATGCTGACACTTAACTTCCATGTGGTTGGCTTCCTCAGTAAAGACAACACAGAGCTGCTCTCTCAATGCAAACACTCGATTAAGAATCTTACCCCGAGATAGTCAATGTACTTCAGTATGAAGGAAGAGTTTTGGGAAATTAGCTTCCATGTCCTTACACAACTCACGAAACATTCTATGCTTTTTGCATGTGCACAGATATGATTAACCATGTGCAGGCGATGAGTCACAATAACGTGGCTAAAGTATGTTGACCAGACCACACACTAGAAGATGAAGGGACGACGACGTTTCGGTCCGTCCTGGACCGTTCTCAAGTCGATTGTGAAGTCACAATCGACTTGAGAATGGTTCAGGACTGACCGAAACGTCGTCGTCCCTTCACCTTCTAGTGTGTGGTCTGGTCAACATGATTAACCATTTTAACAACATCATCAAGTAGAAGTTCAAAGTCACTTTTCTCCTTAGCATTTCTAGTTTCATTCAGTCGCTGTGCCACTAACGCTTCCCCGTGAGTCACGCAGTGAATCGTGACACAACTTGGTGAGACCGCTGGGATCTTCTGTACAACGCCATTGATGGCACCGACCATAGCTTTAGCACCATCAGTAGTAACAGACGTGCATTTTGACCAGTCAATGTCCTCGTCAATAATGAAATCATGAAGTTTCTGAAAATTGTTGTGTGGTGTTTCTACGCCCAGTTGGAGGCAGCACTAATAGTGTTCAACAATGGTTTTCTCTTCTAAGTCTGGAAACCGACAGTCAACAATCAGCTGTGCTTCTCCTCCTATGTCTGTGGTCTCATCCAGTTGAATGTCAAACGATGTGGCTAGACGCCCCTACTATCGGGGTCTTGCGAGTAGGCAAGGTGGCAACTTCGATATTACAATAGGTAAATATGTATTTGTAGTATGTATTTTAAGAAATATAGGAGAGAGAGAGAGAGTCTTTTGTATATTACACAGACACGTACAGCCCGTGCTACTTGGAGCTTCTTGTTCCCAAGTAGCTGAATCTTAAACAACAAAGAACAGCGATTAATTATCTTACGGGTTATTCATGCCCATGCCACCTCTTGGGTGGCTTAATCTTCATCAATCAGTTGAGTAATCATCAGTATAATTTCCAGTGACTCAGTTAACTTCGGTAACGACGCTTAGGAGTTACCAAACCTCTTCAACCTACCTCAAGAATGTAGCACTCGGCGTGTACAGTTCTAATCGACCCCAAGATGTCTCAGCTTCGACACAGAGCTGACAGCAGACTACGACCGCATCGAGCTCGCACGCTCTCGGCCTCATAGAGTTCAGACACTCACCATCCCCCATCGAGCCGCCACGCTCTCCCACACAGCAGACGGCACCGCTCCTGTGCCAGGTAAGTCCACTACGGGCTCACCATAGCCCGTGCTACTTGGAATCTGTTCCGAGTAGCTGAATCTATAACAACAACACCATCCCACATAGAGCTCCGGCCTCATAGAGTTTAGACACTCATCATCCCCCATCGACCCGCCACGCTCTCCCACATAGAGCTCCGCGACTCCGGCCTCACTCAGCTCTCTGCTCTGCTCCAAGCTCCGTCTCAACGTCTACGACAATGCCAACAACCGACTACTGTAACCAAGACTACTAAATAAATATGAAAACCACTAAACACTGCTTATCTAATCAACCCAACAACGTAACATAATCGTACGTTACGGTACCATCTGGGAGGTGAAATCCTGCAAGAGTCAAGTAGAGAAAGATCTCGGGGGTTGATTTGTTTTTTGGTTGTTGCCGCCGGAGGCGGGTAGTTTATTGTGCACCCCATACCCATCCTGTGAGCGGTAGCGCAAAAAGCATTACAGAGGGCACAAAAGGTCTTTATCAGACCTCATCTTAGATTATTACATAAACAATTACATCTAACCTTCACACCTTATAGTTACAATGTCAACTAGTTACAGAGAATGCTCTATTTCAGGAGCTATATATTTACAGTAAGTCATTATACATTAATGGTAGGACTTATAGCTAATACATAATAGTTTGACCAATGGAGATATTACAGAGTCATAGGGGTGCTTCTGTTTATTATTAGTCTTCACAATACATTACTTGTTTCTGAATCTCATATGTCGTTTATCTACTGGAAGCGAAATATGGATACAGTGCAAGGATTTCAGGTAATTTATCCATGGTAATAAGATAGGTTGCCATATCATACAGAGTGAGCTTAGATTTATTGCTAAATGGCTCAGTTTTACTACAATCCAAGATATAGTGTTCGAGTGTGTGTCCCTGTCTTTGTCCACACACTTTACACTTTACTTCATCTAGATCCCTATACAAGCCGAACTGCCAGAGATACTTGTAGCCAAGTCTTATACGAGCTGTGACAACATCTGTTAGTCTACTGACTTTGTTACTTGCCCCATACACGTTTTACTTCACACATTTCATTGTGATAAACAATGGACCTGCTAGTTCTAGTTTGCACAGTTCTACTTTCTTCAAATCCATCCAGGAGTTCTTGTCTAATGACACTTTTAAGGGACCTATTTGATAACTCAAGATTCCGTTCAATACTGTCTTTACTGCAGCCTTAGCAAGGGCGTCAACTTTGTCATGTTCCTGCAGGTCAATGTGATGTAACACCCATGACCCCCCTCCCCCTTAGAGTTCTCACCCAGGGAAGCCTTCTCCAAGAGGTCAGCCCAGATGACCTCCGGTTTATCTTGTATGTTGATTAAAAAAATTCCTGGGTTAGTCTTAGTCAACATAGTTTCAAGTATGTAATATTTCATGATACTCTTGTCAAACATTGCAAGGGAATTAGACTCCAGATTCTTATGTGTAAACATCCCTGGATCTCCCCCTTTTGGCCAGGTCAGAGGTCAGTCACACATGTAATTAATAACTCCTCTCTTGAAGAGTGTATGGTGAATGTCAAACAAGCTTAATTGAAATATTTTTTAAGTGTTTGTGCACGTGTGGCCCGACCCCCCTAGCATTTCTGATCTAGGTAGCAACAGTAAATCTCTCCTCCCCCCTTTTGGGGTATATATATTGGTCCTGTAGAGATTTAGGAACAGAGTGCAGGACACTAGGATCGAGAGCGGGTCTGTGAAGAACACCTCAGCCAGGGAGAGACAGAGGTCTTAAGGTAATGTGTGTGATCTCTGAGGTTTTGTTCCATGTCCAAATTTCTTAAATTTTTGCCAGGGTTAGAGTAGGATTTATAAGTGGTGATTGACATAATTTTGGTCTCAATAAACTCATGTTAAATTTCCCGTCTGTGTCAATTGTTGAATCCTCTTAGCCTTTTGGATATAGTGGCTGACAACCGTTTTCATAATTAATGACAGTCATAGAAAGTACTCTCCAAGTCAAGCAGTGTTTCTTGCCTCGTTGCTTGATATAGTCTCAATGGTCAAAGGCAGATGGTGGCAGCGTATTTAATCCTGTGTTACCATTTCCTTGTTGGCAGTGTACCTTTTAGTTCCGGTGTAACCATCATATGTCAGCTTATAACAGTGTTACCAAGTGCAACCGATGGGGAAGTGTTACTCAGGATAAGTAGTGTTTACATTATTAGTTTAGTATCCATTTGTTACGGCCCTCTTGGGTCGCAACTGGGTTCTTTCTCTGATGTTAGTAGAGCTTGGGTATCCGGCCCCAAGCTAGTAGTGGCTTTCAAGGGGTGTGCTCCGTAACGCAAGTAAATTAAAGGGGAAGGGATAAAACTGCTCAGAAATAAATATATATTCACCACTACCAATAAATAAATATATAAACAGTCACACGCTGTTACTATAACTACACTTATTTACAATCACTTGTCTTCCTCCGAAGACACAGGATGCTCTGCTTAACGGTGCTCAAAACGAGTAGCCCTGGTTCTCTTCTTGTGGCCTCTAGACGAATCCTTAGATTCTCCCAGCGAGTCTACCCCGGCCACAGGCCAGCCAAATCACAGTCCCACTGGGTGCACCGTCGTGGAGGCCGTCAACCACAAATCCAGCCTTTAGCTGGCAGGTTCCAATCAGCAACGCTGCGTAAGCCACTCCACGACCAATACTAGGGTTGCGAGCCCTAGGCAGGAGACTCGTGTGATTCCACAGATCACTCTCCTCACCACAACACCCCAGTGGCTAGTCTTCTCCACCAGTCAGCCCCGGGTACGACAATCCCTGGTTCTGCCACCTCGCAGGCAGGCTAACACAACAGTGTTCATCCGGGGGGTGACTCACAGCTGCTGCAGCAAACACGTGGAGATTCTTCGGCTGCCTTGGGTAGACTGATCCAACGTCCGATTCAGCAGTCCCAGGTCGACTCTGTAATCAGACACGTCATCAGTACTAGTTACACTCTAGGGCACCTCACTCACAGGCTTAGACACAAACGTCCACCTATCCTCTCCATAGATGGCGTTGCTGTCTAAGCGCCACCTCACCAGAGGTCAGCAGCGGCTGTATTATGAGCTGATCAGGACGGGAAACTAGCCCTTGTGGCCAGTATATCTCGTCCTCACTAGATGGCGTCGTCCATTTGGAGGGGGTTTCGGGAGCTGACCCACAGATGGCGTGGTCGTCACTGCTCCGGGCTCGGACGCTGGACTCCGGTCCGTAACACCATTATAGTGGTGTTCCATTATAGTGGTGTTACATTTCAGAGCGGTGTTACAGTGAGAAGGAATCCACAACATTTTTATATTTACCCTCTTGCTAAGTATTCTTATATATCTGTGTCTGGCTTCTGAAACAAGCACGTTATTACTTGATTGCAAACTGTTTATTGCTCGTAGTGAAGAAAGATGTCACACCGAACCTTTCCCCAGAGGCCCACATCACAAGGATATCATCAGCGGCATATGCTAGGTTGGCCTACATCAGCACTGTCTTTAGAAACGTGAGCAAGGAATCATCCAGAACCTTGTATGCCACATATGTCAGACCAATCCTGGAGTGTTCAGCTCCAGCCTGGAGTTATCTAGTTAAACACAAGACAAATTTAGAGAATATTAGAAGTTTGC